CATAGATTGATACAATCAAAGTACCAACACCTTCCTTGTTCCACACATATAAAGTTGCTTCACTTGAGCTTCTGTGAAAGCCACAGTGAATTAAGTATGTGTCAATTTCACTATACCAAGCCATTGGTGCCTGTTTTAGACCATAGAGGGCCTTTCTTAGCCTATGTACACTTTGTCTTCAACCTCTATAACCACAAAACCATCAGGTTGATCCACATATACCTCCTCTTCAAGAACACCATTTAGGAACACTGATTTAACATCTAATTGCCATAGCTTCCAACCTTTCTGTGCAGCTAGTGCAATGAGTGTCCTAATGGTATCTAACCTTGCCACATGGGCAAAGGTTTCATTGTAGTCAACCCTTGGTTTCTGTGTGTAGCCCTTGGCTACAAGTCTGGCTTTGTGTTTTTGAATGGAACCATCAAGATTCAACTTTGTTTTATAGATCCATTTCACTCCCACAATTGGTTTGTTGCATGGCTTATCTACTAACTCCCAAGTTGAGTTCTTCTCTATCATTAACATCTCTTTTGTCATAGCCTTTTTCCAAGCTTCATCTTTGATTACCTCACTGAAATCTTCAGGTTCAATAATGCCCATCTTGCATTGAGCATATACATCACTCAAACTTTTCCAATTCTGTATAGTATGATCATAGGTTTCTGAGATTGAAACTGGAGAATCAAGTGAACCAGATTCCTAAGATGCTTGCAAGTTTCTAGTTGTTTGTGATCTTAGAGGAGATTGCATAGACTGAGGTGAATCATTTGATTCTGAATCAAATTCAGATATCCTTGAGTTTCTTTCATCATTCCAAGAAATAGAGACTTGCACTGCCTCATTAGATTCCCAATTCCACATTGCTTTCTCATCAAAGATTACACTTCTTGATAGTTTAACCTTTTGAGTTCTCAAGTTGAAAACTCTATATCCTTTTTCACAATTCTCATATCCAACAAATACTTTCTTCTCACCAGTTTCCTCCAATTTATGTCTTTCATGTGAAGGAATGTGAATGTAACACGAAGAACCAAATATCTTTAAGTGAGTGACACCTGGTTTCCTTCCACTAAATGCCTCAAATGGAGTTATGTTGTTCAATGCACTTGTTGGACATCAATTCCGCAAATACACAGCTGTATTCATAGCTTCAGCCCAAAACTTCAAGGGAATCTTCTTTTCAAACATCATTGTCCTAGCCATTTCAATCACAGTACGGTTCTTCCTCTCTGCAACACCATTTTGTTGTGGAGAGTAGGCCACAGTCAATTTCCTTTCTAATCCTATATCTTCATAGAACTCTGAAAACTCTAGAGATGTGTATTCCCTACCCCTATCGCTTCTAAGTTTCTTAATTTGATAGCCACTCTAAAGCTTAACCATGGATTAGAACCATTTGAAAATGTTGAAGACTTGTGACTTGTGCTGTAGAAAGAACACCCAGCACATTCTACTGTGATCATTAATAAAGGTAAGGAAGAATTTGTTTCTTCCAAGTGTAGTGATCTGCATTGGACCATAAATATCATAGTGAATCAGTTCTAGAGCTTGTGATGCTCTCCAAGCCTTTTCTTTATCGAATGGTTCTCTATGACCCTTCCCTGTAGCACATCAAGAGCAAACATATTCAGTGACTTGTAGTTTAGGTAAGCCCAGCACCATCTCCTTTTCTTGCAGGGCCAGGCATCAAACTGATGTAGTTTAGATGTCCATATCTTCTATGCCACACCCAAGATGACTCTTCAACAATTGCTTTATTAGCTATAAGAGGATTGACATATTCCAGACCTAAGGGAAAGCATTTGTTTCCTTTCATTGGAACACTTGCAATTAGATCTTCCATCTGTCTATCTCCATATATATCAACCATGTAATCACCAAACACAAGCCAATATCCATGTTCAACCATCTGCCCTACACTCAACAAATTCTCATGTATTCCAGGTACAATCATAACTTCTTTAATGTATCTAGTCACACCCTTCATTTCTATAACCAAGGTACCTTTGCCTATTGACTGCACTAAATCTCTAGTGCCTACTTTAACTCTACACTTCATATTTTTATCAACATCAATAAGCAAAGATTCATGAAATGTCATATGATTACTACATGCACTGTCTACATACCATATGTTCATATTCCTTCTAATAGTAGCAGAATGACAAGCATAAAACATGGTTACAGGTTCTGTTACCTGATTAGCAAAGTTTACAAGCTTTCCAGCCTTGTTTGGTTGATCACAGTCCTTGATGAAGTGGCCAAATCGATTGCAACCATGACATTTTGGCTTCCCTTTAAACCAACACTCACCATAGTGTAGTTTATCACAATGTTTGCATTTTCCCTTAGCCTAATCAGATTCTCTCTTGATCATTTTTTCTTCCTTGATTGACAGAGTTTTGAGGCTTAGGATCCCATTTCTTTCCCTTCGATTTCCAGTTTTTCTTTGGATTTGACTGAGTTCCCTTTGGATTCACATTCATACTACTAAAGCTCTCTCAATGGTACTCTCAGCATGCCTATTAAGGAGCTGTGCAAAACCCCTTAATGCAGCAATAACCTCTTACACCTCAATAGTTTCAATGTCCTTAGTTTGCTCGATCACATAGCAAACAAGATCAAATTCTTTGGTCAAGCTTATAAGCAATTTATGAACCAAACGTGCTATGGGTAATTCTTCCTCATAACCATTCATTTGATTCACCAACTCGAGAAGACTAGTGAGATACACAGACAGGGTTTCATTATCCCTCATCCTTGTGTACTCGAAATCACGACGTAGACCCTGCAACTTGATGGATCTCACTTGCTTATCGCCATGAAATTCTTGGTGTAGAATGTCCCAAGCATCCTCTTAGGTCTCCTCGTTCGAGATTCTAGGGAAAATGTCATCCGAGACAGCTCCTTAGATAATACCCAGTGCCTTAGCATCCTTCATTAGCAGAGATACTTTCTTTGATTCCGATGACCCTTCCGGATCAACCTTCTTCCCCTTCGATTCTGGAATTTCAAGACCTCCCAGATTCCATGTGATTTGAAAATAGTTCTCATTCGGATCTTCCAAAATTCATAGTTGTCCCCATTAAATATTGGAGCCCGAAGATCACTACCACCTGACCCAGCCATTTGAGACCTGAATTGACGAACTGAGTCGGAAATTTCACATTGGATTTCCGAGCACAATACTCATAGATCCGACGTCTGGACTCTAGATAGAACCCTCGTGATACCATGTTAATGTTTGGATAGTCTTTCATTGATGATTTCTTTGGATTCTGAAGGGAGCAAAGGAATGAAAGGAAGAGAGAATAGCTAAATAGAGAAAGGGAATAATCACTGCAACATTCTAACTATTGCAGAATGATGCATTTCATTCATATAGTTCATTCTCTTACATAAGTCATCACAACCATTCAAATACATGAGCCATTGTGATTATGACACATGGCACTTACAAGGCATGTGAGCCATTGAAAATGAAAGCTGATATAAGACCTTACACTTGGCATATAAACTCAAGCTATCACAACAGAAAGCAGTTACATAATATGACAAGAGATAAATCTAATAAGTAAATCATTTACTAGCAACAAATTAGTAAGCAATTTACTTTTCAACACTTCCAGTATGTATTCTAGATATTTACCCTGTTTAAAAAAGAATAATAAAAAATGTTTAATGTTAAAGTTAGGGAGGTGTATTCAATTGAGATTTTAACAGATTGTAATTACATAATTTTAATGTAATGGATTTCGGCCGGATTTGTAATTATATGCTTTTACGCATGATTTTAATAGATTGCAATTACATGATTTTACTTATTATTTTAATTCACTTAGGATTTTACTTATGATTTTGATAGATTGCAATTATATGATTTTACTTATATTTCTATACAAGCTTGAACTCTATCACTCATCATCATTCACCTATACATAACTTGAAGGAATTTGCCCAATTTTTAGGATACATATACTCAAGTTTTAGGGTTAATACAAAGATAGTGGCACAATAACCATCAAATGTTAGTCCAAGGAAAGTACACTGACATCAACAATGTAACTCCCAACATAGCCACACATGACCAAAATGAATACATTAAAGATACTGAGAGCCTAGACATAACATGCAAGAACACCACTCACATGCACTCAACTACAAATGCAAAACTACCATTAACTCTCACAAGCAAAATAATACAACATAAAACTGCAACTACAATGAAAAGCAAATCCACATAGCTAGCTTGTCCGCTCCAAGAACCACGAAAGTTCCAGTAAGACCACCCAACTCAGCTTCAGCCACAACCTCAAGACCGCGGACCAATGCCACCACTACCTAGGTAGGAGGGGAAACCAATCGAAACACACGAGCCCACCAGCTGAAGAGTTTTTTGTTTTTTGTTTTTATATTTATATCTTTTTGCACAGTAGAAAGCATAAAAAAATAATGGGAAAAAAAAAAACTATGAGAGCATATATAAGAATCAGGCATAGGAGGGTGGGATTTCTTATGTGATTTGTTGTTTGTATTACACACTCAAAAACCTCACACAATACACAATTTAATGAAATACATTAAAATCAGTAAGTTTTTGAATACCACGGTACTTTTTCTTATCTTTTAAAAGTCCTAATTGAATACCACCGGACTTGCATTGATTATTTAAAAATCCTAATTGAATACCACAAGAATTTTATTGATTACTTAAAAATCATAATTGAATACCACTGTACTTTTAAGCTTCAAAATAATCCATTAAAATCTCAATTCAATACACGTACCTTAGCTTCAATGCTAATCTTGAAATCATTTTATAAAGAATAAAAAATTGGCCTTATTAAACCTACAAAGTAAACAGTCAAAAACAAAAGTGAACCTGTAAAATATTTACCAGACTCTGCTGCCATATACTATAGCCTCACAAAAGAATGCCTCCATGACGAGGCCCCATTATCTAATATCTATCCGTAAGAAACTTTTTTAGAACTAGGAGCTGGAAATGGGACAAAATTTGTGAAGTCACTGTCAGATATCTATCCAATTCAAGATAAGAAACCTTTTTGGCACTAGGAGGAAAAGAAGACGAACAAAACCAATATTCAATCAATTAAACCAAAAAAGTTACAATAACCTCTCGCATTTTCATGAAAATCCAATCCAACATCAACGCCGACACTGATTCCTTCTGGACTTGGAAGCCAAGGCCTTTCAACGAGAAGGAGCAGAACGAAAATCGATTCTCCATAGCTGAAATTTTCCAGAGCGGCCAAAAAGCAGAGAGAAAGGTGTTGCTGGGGCCTGGAGCTGGAGCTGGAATTGGGTGCGGTGCTGGAGTAGGGTTTGGACTAGTTGGAGGGATAGGATATGGTGCCTGGCCATTCAACCAAGTAAAGCTGGTGTTTGGAGTTGGGGTGGGTTGTGGGATCGGGATCGGATTCGGGTTTGGACAAGGAGTTGGGTATGGAGTTAGCTCCGACTCTCTGGAGTCTTATGTATCCAAGGAGAGTTCAGATTCCAAGGAAGGGATTCAAGTGTATCAGAGATATTGATTTTACAAATTCTTTGAGCTCAATTTTAAATGCGGTTGCTTAATTATCTCCATGCAATTCACATTATTATGTCATATGTTCTTATTCACACTCAACCAATATTGTCACTTATTGTTTAACAATGGTTGGAGCAAAAAAAATTAGTGTAATCATATCTCACAATGAGCATGAACCAAAACGTTTATCAATGCACAAATGGCACAAATTATTGGAAATTTTATTTGGTTTTTGTAACACCTAATAATATACCTTAGATCTATAAAAATATCAACACTCATATTATAACACGTAAATTAATTTCGTTGCATAATAGTACGACAGCCGTATCCGAAATTATTGCCAACTCGACTACCCTTAGCCCTCAGTCTTAAGAGTCTAGATACAAATCACACATAGTATGGATCCAAAAGCGAACCTCATTGGGCAAAACTTTTGAAATTTTGGTTACAAATAGGCCCAATGTCGATAGAAGGGCTAGAGAGAGCATTCGGAACACATGAACCAAAAAACAAAAACAGTTGCCTTAGATCACATTAAAAGAAAATACATAGAAACCTACTTTATGGTAAGAAATTAATTGGCTGAGTTCACACATAGCAATCTTGATAAGAAATAATAAATTCTAGCATATATAGAACTAATTATCACAAATATTCGTCAAACCATCCTGTTATTCATGACCACATATTGGTTGATATCTTCGTACGGTTCATCTTTGCCTTGAGAAGCATGCACTTGAACTTGATGAGACGAAACACCGGCGGCCGGCATCGGCGGATAATACTGCATGTAGGGCACAGTTGGCTGCATTAGCCGAGCATAGTACTGGCTCGTGGATGAGGAACTTGGAGGATTAATGTTACCATTTAACATCATCATGTTCATGTTCATATTGTCCACCGCGGACTGCATCATCGGATCATTGAAATTATTTTGATACCCCTCCAGTGGTGATTGAGAATGAGCACTGCTGGAAGCCCCTGAGCTGAACTGAAGAGTACTATAGTTATAGTTGCTCTCCATCAACATCCACATTGCCATGGGACTCGAATTATGAGCCATAAGACTATTCAAATATTCATTTGAATTGTCAAGTTGAAGCATTTGATCAGACGACTGATGATGATGATGATGATCAAATGATGAGACTGGATGCATATCCACCATATTATTACTCAAGGATCTCATAGGCTTTTGGTCCTCCTCATGCACATGGCCTTGCATGAAATAGTTACAAGGCTGCTTTTGACTTGATGATTCACCAGTGATATTATTATTAGGGTTTCCACCCATCAACATTATTTTGGTTGGTGCTGCTTTTCCCATGCAATGTATTTGATGCTGATGGCATTCAGCTGATTGTTTCCTCTTGTTAAGTAATGTTCTCTTGCCAGACTCGAGCTTTGTGTCCAACGTATTTAGAAGCGCCTCCAGTTGATTTTCGGAGAAACTTTCAATACGTTCATCCCATGTTGGATACTTGGCCTCATACATCTCCTTCTGCGCTCTGTAGATGTCAACATGGACCTTGGTTTTTCTGTCCCTCAACAAGTCAGACAAATCAAAGGTTTTCTTGGCTGGTTTGCGCATGATGCTGGCCTTGTACTTGTTGATTATGCGGTCAACCTCGTCGCGGTTTTCGGGCCACGTGTAGAGTTCAGGAGGCCGATCAGTCTGTTTAGGACCATAGATGATCATGCAGACATCCAATTCGCAAAGAGTTGAAAACTCGTAGGCCTTCTTCATCATGCCCTTCCTTCTCTTCTGAAATGTTGTTTTTCGAGCTCGTTCGTTCGCTATCAGTTCCATCTTCAGCCTTCCACGGCCCATATTAATTCTTCTGCTCTAAACAAATACAAAAATAATAATATGATTTAAGGGAATGTGAGATTCGGAGTATATGTGTTTCATAAATAGCAGAATTGACTCCAATTTAGCCAATTTTAGCCTCGTACACTCTCAACATTGGATTTTCTTTGATCTTTTTGTTTTTCCTTCTCATGATAAAACAAAGCTCAAGAAAACTAGTTAAAACATGAAATGAAATAGGTGGAAAATCAAATAAATAAATAATCCTACAGCATGTGTTTGGATCAACAGCACCCTACAGACTTATCATTGAACAAATGTTTCATACATATCATCACAAGTAATTAAACAATTGCATTTAATTAAGGAAAGCGTTTCGATCCCACAAATGGGAAAACTCATTTAAAGGGATGTGCAAACTAAAAGAAACATGTATGAACGTAATACATCAAGTAAAGAGAAGAGAATATAGATATTGAACGAAGTAGGTACCTTCACTTAAATGGCTTCTAAGAACTTTTGCCGTTTGGAGAACAGAAAATGGCTTCTTAAACCTCCCTTTTGTTTTGTCAGATCTAAAAAAACTGGAGTTTACTTGACCTACATAGCAGAGTGGTTTGCTTGCGGTTCACTACATATTCTCATTGTGCTCAGTCATAATTAATTCCCGAATTTTATTTTATTTTATTTTTAATTTTTGGTTAAGGTAAATAAGAAGTAAAGTCTACATACCATATGTAGAACCGTCCTTATCTCAATTAGCCGTGTATCGAAAACAGAATCAATTACATTAATTAGCCCTTTAGACAATATTTTTATAATTAAAAAACCAAGAATATATTTGTTTTTAATTATTATTAAAATAAAAAAATATTTTAAAAAAAAGGCAAGAGTAATACCAGATACACCAACCCATGCCAACTTTTAGTTAAGAACTGATATGGCAATGTTTCATTTGTTTCATGTCTAATATTCGTAAATAAGAAACGCTTTTAAATATGGTTACACAGAACTTGACTAATAGGGGTGGGCAAATTACTCTTTATCATGTTCTTCAAACGTTCCATGTCAACCCCGGAGATAAGGGGAGGCTTCAACAAGAGGGATAAAAGTGGAATTTTTGAGGAAAGGTAGAGAAGTGGTTTCAACAAATTAGGGTTGTGAATTAAACTCCCCAAAAGAAAACTAAGGTAACATTTTTGTTTAGTTATTGCTTCGTCAAAAGATAAGGTAACAAATTGGGCTTGTGTTGCTTTCTCTCATTTGGGCTTGTTTCCATTTGTCTGCATGTCATTAGGATGAAAATTAATCCATTCAATATGCATGTGGGCAGCCGGGCAGAAACTATAAAATAAATAAAATACTAGCAGAAAATTTATATACCAACAATCATATTAAGTATGAATATAAACAGAGTCCTTCAAAAATTCCTGAGGCCAAGCTTGGAAGAGAAGGTACAGTTCCTATCAATTTAGGTCGTGGCATTGCTCTACAAAATGTACACAGCCAGGAGTCGATCCCCGAGAGCTCCAAACTTTAAAGTAACCTTCGTGTGCAAAACTATCTCCTCCCAGATTCCAGTTCTTCCAATGCTGAACCAGAATTATGTGCTAATGATAACCCCATGCATCCATGGATGCTAGTTTCGTCTTCTTGATTCTCAACCCCTGCTTGTGTCACCGAACGTGACTCCTCCAACACCTGGAAGTAAGCATAAGGGCCCCAACCTACAAATGGATGTACAGAAAATCAGATCGCTACAAAATTATTAACACAATTTAGAACAAGGCCTATGTTCATTTGGGTATGAGAAATGACTGTCTGATACCTAATTGTTATCTATTTCCATGGTACAAATGGCAATTCCCTTAAAATGCCGAGCCAAATTACCAAATTAACAAATGGCAATTCTCTTAAAATGCTGAACATATTTTCTAAGTTGCCAATTGTATTTGTGACACCTACACACACACTCATCAAAACAAATGCAATGGACAGACATCAATGAGTAAAACTTCTGGTCAGTTCTAGAGACGACTGAAGTGACCACTAAAGGAGCATCATCATTGATGAGCAAAGAAAAAAATGTAACATGTCTACGCCATTGGAATTGTGTTATCAATTCTGTCAAGAAAGAAGAAACATAAAAAATATCATTCTAAGAAAATGTTATTAACAAAATGTCACAACACCATAAAAGCAACATCTCTAGAAACTATTTCCCCAAAACAAAAACACCCATATAAAATTTTCTTAGTAAAATGTACCTTGAGCATGATATGGGGGTGGAAAGAACTGCAGATAGCAAAATGTAGCAACTATAAATCCTGAAAAAAAATGTCATGATAGTTATTGACCACATAAGGATCAGTGAGTAGTTAGTTATTATTCATTATGACACAAACCTAGGAGACCTCCAGCAAACACGTCCTGCCAGTGGTGCCAGTAGTCATCTACACGAGAAATGCCGACTAGTGATGCAAAAAGTAGAGGAAGAAATACAATGCACAGCTTTGCAACATGGCCTTTGCGATCAAATACTTTTATTTTACCCGACAAATACAGTGAGAGAAATCCTAGACCAGCAAAGGAAACTGCACATTGTACCCAAATTTCCTCAAAGTTAACAAGTCTACAAAAGATTCAGGTAAATATAGTGCTGGTATCACATGATCAACCAAGTGGTATTATGCGTTCCCTTATAATGCCAAATTTATCAACAATATAAAATCTTTTTCTTGTTGGCATGTAAATTATAGAAAATACCAGACAGTACGCTGCTGCTTACATGAAGTATGGCCACTTGGAAAACTCTTGTGCCCCTCCTTTATGACACTCTTCTTACCATGGCATACAACATTTCCCAATTGATCGTACACCTGAGAAGAAATTAGTTATTAATTTCCATTGCCAACAGCATCATAGATTAATCTGCTAAAAGAAGACTGCCCTCCAATAACAATAAAGTAACTGTGAACCTAGAATGCCATACATCCTTTCCATCTGGAAAACAACGCCAAAAGAAGTCTGGCCGGGGTCGACCAACTGCATCTTTTATAGCATCTGTAATAACCGCAGTTATCAGAACAGAGAATAAGAGACCTGCAGTAACAACTTCTAAACATCAGTTCCTGTCTTTCTATTGTATCTTCTTCAGTAAATGGGGTATCCGATGACAATCTTCCTTAAAATAAAGCAATTGTCAGAAAATTGATCACCTAGTATGGCATGGTGAAGGTCATAGACATCTCTCCTACGAAAATAGACAACAACAAAAATTGCTATGGGCAGTGCAACTGCATAAATCTAACCCTCCAAGATGGGGGCGGGGAGAAGCATCACATCAGTTCAGTATTCAAATACTATATCTGTAAATATGGGATCATAAGATAATAGCAGAACACTGAGAACTTACAGGAACGGCCCAAACAGGCACGGTGTTACTTTTCAAGGGATATTTAAGATCAGTCATCATATCTTTTCCCACAAAGCGATAAAAGGGATGAATCACATTCAGGATGACAACTATCAACCCAAGAAGCATTAGTATCACCCAATCATGCATGTGTGTCCTTGCAACTGTCATCCCATGGGACCTTACAGTATGCGAACCAAGCTGAACTTCCTGCATTTTATTCTGTGTAGAAAAAAAAAATGAAAAAAAAAAGGCAACCACAGCCACAGAAAAGAGAGAAGATTTTAAAGAAAATACTTTTATCACATTTTATACATAACACAACCAAACAATGATACTACATGTGAAAATAATGGAAAAGTTTTCTGAAGAAAACAACGTTCCAGAAAATATGTAATAAGCTACGAACACGATAAAAGGCAAGTAGAAGAAAACAAATATAGCTCACATGATAAACACAAAGAGAATGATCCTAATGCAAAACAGGAAACAGATCCACAAGGTGAGCTCTAAATGCAATAAAGATGGCACATTATTAGGAATAACAGCCATCCAACATTGAAATGACCACAAAATTATGAACCATTAGAGCAAATGAGCTGTGGATTGCACAAGTTGGTAAACCCTGCCAGAAGATGAAATCGAAACAAAAACCGCCATAAATAATCTGTACAGAAGCAACAACTATCTGAAACAGTGTAGGGTGTGTCAGAATCCCAAGATGGATACAATCAACACTGCATGAAGAAGCCGAGTTTTACAATAATATGGACTGCTATTGCTGCTCTTACATTGAGTAAGATGCAGAAATTATAATATAAATAATCAATACCAGACATGTGAAAGAGACATTCCCCTTACCGTTAGATACAAGTTAATCTTTGATTATTGTTTGGTTCAACTTTTCATGCGTCACAGAAAAGGTACTAGCCTACAATATTAAGGACACTTCTTCCTCAAAAAAAATTCCATGTTGGACACCTTAGAACCCTGCGCTTGTGTCCAACCATTGGCCACTCATTTGGATGTTTACAAGGAATTCAACTTCATTTACCTCAAAGGAGTGCAGAATTATCAACATTATGCATTTTTCTCAAGAAATAACACGTGGCTATATTTTCATAATAACTTAGTATATATAGGTTCTTTTCCAAGAAAATATATGCTCAAATGGAAAGATGATCACTTAATTTTCTTCCTCAGTTAAGATTTTTTTTGGGGGGGAGGGGGAAAGGGTGGTTAACAACTATGCTATGCACAAGCCATATAGATTTTCACAAATTCAAAACATGCATATATATATTGGCCAGTATTTGTGTCTGAATTTTTAGATGTTTGAGACACACCACATCTATGTCAAACATGATTTCTTTTCATTTGTCTGCATAAACGATGAGGTCCAAGCATAACTGCACAACTCATTCAGTGTGGTACATCATCATTCATGTGAGACCCGATTTCTTATCAACCTTGTACAGAAAATCGTGAATTCCAATCTTAGTGCTTGAGAAGATGACAGGACTGACTCACGTGTTGAATGGTCACAAGGTAAAATGCTGTTACTTATATAACTCAATAACTTTCAAACAATTAAAACGTTTATGCAACAAAAATGAGTGGCAAATTAACTTGATGCCTGCCGAAGATAATAAAAACAAAGGGCTTTTCTCATTCCTACAAGTATTATCATGTATTTATATAAGAGAACCAGATAGATGTTGCTTCGTCTTAAATCTCAAAGAACAGATAAGTGAAAGGAGGGAATAGATCTATTCTTACATTCTATTTTCCAGATAAATTCCAGCCAGTCAACAAGGGAAGAAATCCATCATACATTATTTATCAATTTACATTCCAGCCAAAGAAGCTACATCACACGAGAAACATAATTGTATCTTTCAGCTAAATTATATTTTGTCCATGTACTTTGGGCACAATTCCACTAATCCCTGTAGTTCTAAGTTAAAATTATATGCACTTGTAGCCTGGTAAGGTTTGCAATTGGTCCAAAATTACATTTCTGTCAAATTGGTTGGCCGAAACAGCACATGCCTCTTAGGTGATGACTTTTAGCTCTCTTCTATTACATATGATTTTGAGAAAGAGAAGAGGATTTCATTTACAAATTAGGGATTCTGAAAAGGAAATTTAGGGATTGAGGATATTATTAAAAAAAAAAATTAATGGGTGAAAGCTGAAACCTAATCTTTAATTATACTTTTTCCTTCCAAATTTCTAACCCATGCCATTTTGTCAACCAAGTTGGTAGAAATGTTATCTTGGACCCAATTGCAAACATTAGTAAACTAGCAGGGGCATATAAATGTTTAAACTGAAACTACAGAATGAGATTGGGCTTGTACTACAGTGACCAAAAATATAGTTTAGCCAATGTTTTAATGAAAAAAACTGTGATTTAACTTTGTCTTGAACCCTTCTGCCCACCAAACAGAAAAAAGGGTGCTGCGGGGTTTAAATTTTATCAACTCAAGATATAGCTATGCTCACTAGCAAATGAAAATAAATACCTCATCCTCCCTGTGTCCTATCAATGGAAGGTCAATGGGTGTAAATGAATCACTATTAACAGCAGAAATCTCCGGCTTCTTGCTTGACACATCCTAGATAACCCCAAAAAAAGAAAATCAACCTTCAGGGGTATAAATATCAGGGCACCAGATTCATTAGACTTAATCCTGAACTCAAACTTTGCGTGTAACGGATATGAACTTTGTTGATTCTGGGCTTGAAATATTTATGGAATCAGCAGAGAAAGTTTGCCAATCTACTCTAACTACATACTAAGTACTAACAATTTAACATCCACCTCCCTACAAGATCCCTGTATCACCTAGACAAACACTAAGAAACCTAAACTTCGAATTCAAGCATGAGGAGAAGTGAAAACCATTGATTTTGATATCTATTTTAAATTGTTCTTAAGAATGTGAAGTTTGCAAGAAAACTGGGAATCGCTTCTCATGATGTGAATGTTTGAATCATCTGTCATGTGTGGGGTTTGTTTGTGTGTGACAATACATATAGTAATAGTATGGTAAATTGGTATTTCATGCTTACTATATTTAGTTCAATCCAATCGCCTAACAAACTACTGGCATATGCACTGTAGAAAAAGCAGCACTCATTTTCTGTTACCCAAAAAAATAAAATGGGAAGAGTTCGCTACATAGAGAGATAAATCTATGGCACACAATTCAGTATCTTTAGATGCACAGCTACTAAAAATTATGTTTGACTAAAATCCGCATGCTAAGTAATCCATTATGTCATCACAAGGTATGTCAATCCAGAATAACAGTGGCACATAGCCCAAAGAAACTACAGTTGGAAGCACAGTATCTAGGACTGTCCAGGAAAAGCGGAGGAAGAAAGAACAAATTATTGATTAATTACAAGTTCCTTTGAACAATATAAGGAGACAGAAGAAACAGCAGAAAAAATCTTCTCAAGCATAAAGAAAGAAGGAACGAGCATAATGATGAGGCTGTAATTAATAACAACGTTTACCAAGCAGCTTCTAAGGCTTTGAAAATCCGTTCTACCATTCCCTTACATAAACCTAATGTACAACACAATGAGCTACAGCAGTCAAAAACTTTATCATTGAAGCGCAATCCAAATATTTTTTTACTCTAAAGAGAACATCAGAAGTGGAGGTGGGGGGATGTACTAGTAAGACTAGTCCAACTAATAGATCATTTTCATTTATTTTTTTCTATCTCTCTTTTTGGGGTTTTTGGTGGTAAGGCTAATGAATTGAAGCATTCTAGCAGTCAACTGAAAATTTCCATTTGAAGTCTAAAGTTATTGAACAGTTCAAGATTCTAAAGTTCCAGGTTGATTAGCAGTACAATAGACTCTCATCCCTTGGAACATTCATTCCCAAAACAACCAACTTTCACTTATCCAGCAACTTTTACCTTCAAACAAATTAAACATCACCCCAGTCATCTACTTCACTTTAGAACATCTACTAAAAGTTTATAATATAAAGATGCCACAAACCCATCACAGTATATATAGGTTGCAAAACTAAAGGGACAAAGAAGCCTGGTATGCAAAAGGAAAATCTATCTGTCTAAAAGAAAGTGAACTTTTGTTCATAGAATAACCACACAGTTCAATCAGTAACGCACTAACTTGAGCAAAGACACTAATCATCAAAACCGTCACTGAATTACATCAAAAACAGCCAAACCCACATGGTATTTTACCCATATACTTCCGTAATATGCATCCCATTAAGCCACGAACTTTAGTATAAAAGCATAAAACCCACTAACCTGAAAGAGGCCACTGAAGTTTTTAAGACGAGAAAGCGATCCCAAATCCCACCAAGGCATTGTACGAGCCAAACCAAACACTCCGATACAATACAAACTATTACTGTTAAGAGAACCGACGCTTGGAATAAAATGTGACCAGGAAAGTGGCAGTGGCAGTCTGAGGTGGGAAAGGAAGGGAAGCTTCCTATTTGTTTGATATTTTAGACGAGGGTAATTTGGAGCAAAAATTATCGATCAACTCAACTATTTGCCACATGTCTAGTTATTTTCTTTACTTTTGTTAATTTTCTGTCAATTTTAGGGATAAAAATGAACTCACATTAAATGCAAGTTTAGAGCAATGCTAGGGGTATATTCAATTATGATTTTAGAAGACTGCTATATAATTTTTTTAATAAACTTTTTTAAGATTTGTATGGTTTTTATTCCAGACTTCTATAATTTCTTTAGCTGATATGGTTCCTTGTTCTTTGTAGTCGTAATGAGAAAACTCCAAATTAGCTGATTGCTAGAGAAAAAAATGAAGTATGATAAAATGACAAGGCCCTGAAGAGAAAAAAACAAAACAAAACAAAACAAAAGACGTGCCCAAGTAAGCCTCTGTCTTCTACAGAAACTTTGAACTTGTGGCCATCCTTGTTTTTTTTGCTTTTAGATCTCATCAAAGCCATGACTTTATTAAACTCCTCCCTATCAATGTCTATGTTAATAATACATGTAACAAGTTAGCTTTCTATCATAATCAACTACACATGAAAAGATTTTTACTTATAACTTGACCAGATGGAAAGTATACAAAGTAAAATTATTTTATATAGTAACATTGTTGTCAATGTATCTAATGGTGATCCAATTTTAAACAACATGAAATAAAATTTTAAACTTGATTTGTACCAACATGAAATAAAAAACCAAATTCATAACATCTTTTCCTTCAACAACATGAAATAAAAAGTGTTAATAAATCATAAAAGAAAAGAAAATGTTAAATAATTTTAATTGATGTGGATGTCCACCTCATCTGCCACATAAGATGGTATGAGAATGTGGTATATAAATGTGGTAAAAGTAGTATTATTCAAAATAAAATTATGTTTAACGAAAATCAAAATTCATAAGAAATATAGTGACAAATGTATTACAAATTTGAAAGAAAAGTTTAAGGAAAATATTTAACATTCATTCATTATCCTTGATTCTCATTGTTGTCATTGTGCCCAGCATCTCTCCACATATCCAAAGCTATACCAACTCTCCATTCATTAGCATTCTGTCATTGTTGTTCTTGTGTTTGAAATACTAGTTCAGGATCCCATTCATTAACCGGTAATGATAAAGATGAAGAAGATTCGTTCTCCAATTCAATAGGAAATTCGTTAGATCTACACTCTTTTCGAAGAAAATTGTGGAGTCCTACACAAGGTAACACTATCTCTATATGTGTCGTATATGGGAATGGAGGTACAAACTTGAAAATTGTAAATCATGACTTAAATATACCAAATATCCTCTCAATGACATTCCTCAAGGACGAATGACGAAGATTGAACAACTCAACTTCATTTGCAGGTGCATGGCCTTGACCACAAAACTCTTGGAGATGATATTGAACACCTTGAAATGAAGCCAAAAATTGGTGTCGATTTGGAAATCCACAATCCACTAAGAAAAATTTACCTGATAATAGATTACACATATGTTAGTATCCAATGTATGACCTAATGTAAACTATAAGAAAAAATTGAAAATTTAAAAATACCTTGTGACACCTAAGTTTTTCATTAATCTTGGGGAGTATTTTGGTTTCTACAGTTGCCTTGCTTAACATTCCATTAGCATCAAGCCATCCTTGCAGCATCAACCATGAGTTGCAATAACATTCTACTCTCTTCCACACTCCAAGCATTATAATCTTGTTTGCTCTTCCCTTTTCTATTTACTTGTTGTATATTTTTAGACTCCATTTGAATGGTGCAACTATGAATTTTATCATGTTAATCACAAATACAACATAAAAAATATACAAAACCCATAAAACACTACACAAAAAATGTACATCAACAACCATAGATCCTAACAGACAAGACACATCTTATGTTGAATACAAACATGAATGATGTGGAACAAATGGCTGAATGGATTGAAGAAGAATTGGAGTGAAGAATTGAAAATGAACGCAGTAGGAATTTACAGATTTGGCATCCGAACTCCGATTGGAGTGTATGATACCTTTCTGAAAAAGGAACGATGCCACGAGTCAAACTCACTACAATGTTGTGACATATAGTGAATTTTGGGCTTTTGAGGTCATTTAGGCTTCCAAAACAACATTTAAAAGTTATAGTTAATTTTTGACTTTTCGTTTTTTTACTGTTTATCTATATTTGTCTCAGTTTTTTTGTTCGATTATAGAAAGGTTGTCAATTATTTCATTTTTCTATCTATGAACAATTCTTATAAAGTCGTATAAGATATTTCAGAAGAAAAACAAGTAGTAACAAGCAAAAACCCTAACCCCATACTTTCATAATTGCAGTTTTTATAAAAACTTTCAAAAACATCCAAAATCCACCTAAATGGACTTAAATAACCTCAAAACTAAAACCCACATAAAACTGCTACTATTTGATTTTAGATTTTTTTTTTTTTTTTGGATGAATTCGGTAAACATTAAGAAAAGGAAATTACACGAGTGGGTTCGATCTTCTAACTTTCCATTCCACTCCTCCCATCCTTAGCCCCAAATGCATCCCCCTCCTTCATCTCCATGCAGAGCACTGATCACATAAAATACACACTTTTATATTCAAGTCAAAGTAGCCAACAAAACAAAACATGTCAAAGTAACTTATTTGGATCTCACATCAATCTTTCTAAGTCTAATGAATAATAAAGGCTGGTTTGGTTTGGAAATGCCTCTCTCACAACAAATTTTTCAAGTCTGTTCAAGTTCAATTGAATAACAAGACTTTGCTTGATGTGTCATACTCCTTCCTACAAGTGTTAGGCAGTAGTCAAAATATTTACATATTGCTTTCTCGTTGCTTAACTTTGCTAGTTTGGCAAAACAAGGGAAGATTCTTGCTATGCTTTATCGAAGTGTCATTCATGAGGTATTATGAGTTCAGGTTTGCATTGCTGATTCACCAAGTCCATCTTAGTTTTGATTTTTAGGTTTATGTGGCTTTTAATTTTAAGGGTATTTAAGTCTTTTTGGATGTGTTTTTGGCTATTTTTGAAAGTTTTTATAAAAACTAAAATTTATGAAAGTATGAGGTAAATTTTGGCTATTTTTGATAAAAACTCATATAATTAACCCCAACTTAACACCGTTAAGTCTAAATAAATTAAAATAAAATAAAAACAATAAAGGAAAAACATAAACCTATCAGCCACCTATGACACACCCCACCCTACCCTACTCATGGCAACCTCATTCCCTCCTCACAACCAACCTCCACCCCTCTCCTTCTCTCCCTCTCTCCCCCCCCCCCCCCCCCTCTCTCTCTCTCTCTCTCTCTCTCTCTCTCTCTCTCTCTCTCTCTCTCTCTCTCTCTCTCTCTCTCTCTCCACAATTCGATGACTGAGCAACTATGATGACATCTTAATCCTTGCTAAATGTCGATGCTGCATTTTTTTTTATATAATGGCAGTTGGGGTCGGGTATTTAACTATGATGCAAAGATAAACCTATGATAAGAAAAAATCATAGCTACTATAATGCACATTTATGGGAGGGAAAGATTTGTGGACGGTGGAGAGGAATCAGGGGTGGGATAGGATGGCAGTCACGGGGTCGGGTAGGTAAGATGGATGTTATGTTTTTTATTTTTTCTTTATTGTTTTGTTTTAATTTGCTTTAATAATTGTTTTAAACTTAACAATGTTAAGCTGGATCTAATTAAATAGATACATGTCTAAAGTTAAAAATTGATGTGTCATATCATGAGTCGTTAGATTATTAGAATGGTTTAGATCTTGCGAAATATGGGTAAATTCACAGTCACTAAATGTAGAGGCTCAGGATCCGTATAAGAAATCCTCCTCCCTTATAATTTAGACTATTACTTGTACTAATATATATATATATATATATACAAATTAAATAAAGTGAAAAACTTTGAACCAAAAAAAAAAAAGATTTCTCTACCGTCACACCTCGTTAGCCCTCCCAACTCAAGGGGAAGAGAGATCGGAATATGGAGAAATTAGTGGGGGAGTGAGGGATAAGATGGGTTTCAAGCTTGGGAATGATGGGAGATTATAGAATTGTGGTGTTTGTTAGCTTGCTAGGTATGGGTGGCCTAGTAGGGCTAGCGCGCGGCAACTTTAACGAGCTTATAGTGGAAGTAAAAACTAAAAGGATAAGATAGGCATTTACAGCGGAGGAAGGATGAATGTTTGCAATGGCTTAACTTGAGGAGCTTAAAATGGTGGAGCTCAAGAGGTCACAATGGATACGTTTTTTAGTTTTTATTTTTAACAATTAGAGTAGCTAAAAAAACGAGTTGAGGACTAACTCAAGGAGTAGTTCCACGACTATTGGTCCAAATTAGTCTTTAACTAATGTGATTTGAACCACTTAATTTACACACATAAACTAAAAATTGAGTTGATAGACTAACATGTAACTCTATGATAACTTCATGAATCATAACTCCAAATTAACCAAAACTAAGTCATCTTTCGGGTCACTATGCATTGATATATAGATGCTCTCTTGCATAGAGGTTTATAATTATGTACAGGTTTATTTGATAATGTGGCTTCACATGTATTACTACCCAACTCAAGGTTTCCTTGTGTGAGCCTTCCATGGCTTTTATGAGAACCTTTCATGTCTTTTTAAGTGAAGCTCTCTTATCATTGGAGCTTTTGTTAGTTATATGCCATTAAAGCCAACTAGTTATGTAATAGTGTTAAAGACATCTTTCTAATGACTTATTAAGTTATTTATAGGCAAGACCAGTTATTTTAATTCATGATTATATTATATTAAGAAATGTAAAACAACTATAGTCCTAGGAATATGAAAGTAGACATGAGAACTATGTAATGAGATTGCAGACATTGAGACTTATCATGTCCTTAGTCATCCTAAAAATGTTTCTGGTCATAGGAATATCAATTGGGCATTGATC